GAGCAGTGACACTGGGACAGCCACAATGCTAAGAATTTTACATGTATCATCTCATTCAATCCTTACACCAGCTCTATAAGCTAGGAAACTAAGGCTTGGGATATTTAATGATGCATACAGTCATACAGCTATTAATTTCTGGAGCTAGTAATTTGTGAACCAAAGTTTAATTTCAGGTTTTATTTTCTTATATTTTCGTAAAGCATATGCATAAGTTATTTTATTTATAACTTATATGTTAGTGTGTGTATGAGTGTATTTGTGTTAACTAAACCAAGCATACAGTACAGGTAAAAGGATTCAAATATTTTAAGTGGCAATTCATTAGAGTTTTTAAATAATGAAACTGTTGTGTTGTTGTTGTGTACTGTCCAGTCGATTCTGACTCATAGTGACCCTATAAGACATAGCAGAACTGCCCCATAGGGTTTCCAAGGAGCAGCTGGTGGATTCAAACTGCCAACCTTTTGGTTAGCAGCCTGAGCTCTTAACTACTTCGCCACAAGGGCTAACAATCTATTAAAAGTAACAATTAAAAAGATTACTTAACAAAATTACCTTTCGAACAAATGATTTTCTATATTCATTCATTTCACCAATAATGGCACGTTTGAATTCTCCATAATCAACTTTGTTACTGCCATTGCCATTCAGAATTAGCCATGAGGACTCAAAATCCTAGAAATAATTATACAGAGATCACTGCTACACCTTTAAGTTACATACAGTCACAACAAAAATCATCATAGTAATATTTTATAACATCTTTTGTAGCCCTAGACAAGGTAACAAAGTAGCTCACTTAAGAAAATTCTAAGAGGTCACATATAAATCTAATCATCTTGTAAAGGCACTAAGAGAACTATTTAAAGGAACTCGTGGCAAACAGTTCTGGAAAGTTAAGAACCATTTAGGATCTGACAGAGACTGGAGGAAGCCCCAAGACTCTGGCCCCCAGACACTCTGCTAACTCGGAACTGAAACCACTCCTGAACCCTGCTTTTCAGACAAAGATTAGACAGGCCCATAAAACAAAAAAATAACCCACATGAAGAATGTACTTCTTAGTTCAATCAAACATATGGGTCAAATGGGCAACTCCTATCCAAAAGCAAGCAAAGAAGGCAGGAAGGGACAGGAACTGGACGAATGGACATAGGGAAGCCAGGGTGGAAAGGGGGAGTGCGCTGTCACATTGTGGGGACTGCAACTCATGTCACAAAACAATATGTGTATAATTTTTTAATGAAAAATTAACTTGAACTGTAAACTTGCACCTAAAGCACAATAAAATTTTTTAAAAAGAACCAAAATTCATACATTTATCTCTTTAAGTTTCTTTTCTATACAAAAAATATGCTTACCACTTATTCTGTACTGAACATTTAATTTTTTGAAATTATGTCTGTGACAATCCAAAAGTCATTGCAGGTTCTGGAATGTCCCCAAATAGCATTATGATCACTAATTGTATTTGTTAGTCTTTGTGCAGAGAAGATTTGAATGACTCTAATAATATTCCATAACTCACACTGCAACATGTTATGTGGAGCAAATTCCTTATGCCAGTTTGTTCGCTTTACCACTGCCATTTACTTTTTTGGCAAATGCAGTCTTCAGTGGAATGTTCTATTCATGGAGTTCCTGACAATAAATAGATTCTAGTTTTATCTCGATTACTAATTATCTGTGTGACTGTGGACAGAGGCACCAAGACTTTCTACTTTTCTGTTGTTTTCCTGCTGTTGTTGTTGTCTTTGGGTCTTTTTCCTATGAAATAAAGAGGTGAAACTAGATGATTCCTAGTGTTTGTCACTACGTAGGCAATAAGATTCAGCATTATGGAAAACACAAAAGACAGGTAAGTCACAACAGTGACAGCAACACCATACTGGCATAAAATTTTACAGTTCATAAGGCATGTTTCCAATAATTTTTCTCATTTGAGTCTCAAATCAATTCTTACTATAGGTATTATTTCTGGTTTGTGCAGGCAGAATATACTGCATCTTGTGATGAGATCATTTGAAGAACAAAGAGAACAATGCAAGAGAATCCCTTATCTAAAACCTTTGAGGCAGATGTGCTTCAAATTCGTATACTTTGAGAATAAAATCCAAACAGCATGGCATACAAAGCTTTAATGTAATGGACCCTGCTGACCCTTCCAGGCTTATTTCTCTTTCTTTCCTCCTCCCTTCCTCTCTCCTTCCTTCCCTCCTTTCCTTTCTTTCTTCTCTCCTTCCTTCTATTCATCCACCTATCCATTCATTCGTTCAAATTAATCCACGAACTATTTATTTAGCAACTGTTGTATGCCAGGCTCTATTCAAGAGCTGGAGACAGAGCAGGGAACCAGAAGTGCAAGATTCCCGCTCTAACGAGACTTACAGTCTAGGTGCAGGCAGAGCCAGACAATATTTGCAGAAGTGGTATAAAGAAAATAAAACAGAAAAACGGTGTAGAGAGGGCCAGAGGGCAGGAAGTGGGTAGCTCCTTTAGACAGGAGTGTCTCAGGGTTGCTCTCCCAGTGGAAAAGGCTGTGGCCTGAATCATGAGAACACCAAGCCATGCAAAGATCTAGTGGAAGACTACTCATAGCAGAGGGAACAGCATTCATGAAGCCTCAGCCATGGAAAACTGAATCAATCATCTGCGGTTCCTGGAACAGGCTACACGCTCTCTCCTCTCCACACCTTCACATGTGCTTCTCCTCCTGAAATATCTATGCTCCTCTTGTCTGGTTAATTCCTGCTCATCCTTCAAAACTCAGCTGGATGTAGCCTCCTCCAGGAATCCTTCCATGATCTTCCCTCTCCTTCACCCATCACCTGGCTTAGAATTAGGTACTTCTCCCATGTGTTCCCAAAGCATCCTTTGTTTAACATGTATCATATTTTTATAATCACGTATATATTTCTCTCCTTCGATTACAATAAGCTTGAGAGTACACAGTATGTCTTCTCAGAGCTTAGCACAATACCTGGTTAGCAGAATCTTAATAAATATTTGATGGAGGGTTGAATGTTGAAATTTTAAACATTAACAGAACTTGTTGCCTGGTGACTTAACACTGAAAACAGAATAAAGCAGAAGGCAATGACAAAGGAACTGCTAAAATTTCAGTAGAAAAGTGAATAATTCCACCTAACAATAATGTATTATTTACTGTAGAGAATTATATGTGGTACATACCTTTTCAGACACTTCTAAGTGAAATAATTTTAGAGCTTGCTTAAAATCTGCCTTATCTAAAAGTCCATTTCCTTCTTTGTCCAATTGTTGAAAGTATTTTCCCAGTCCAGTCAAAATACGAACACCTCTTTTATGTAGTTTTACTTTTAGTGCATCTGTTTAGCAAGAAGAGAAAGAGAAACTAAATGTCCCCATGCACAAATACATCAAATTGCAGTTGTCCTTCTTGTAAGAAAATGAAAGTCAACATACCTGAAAAAAATCAAATTCAACCAAGTCATGTATACTGCTGATGAAAGAGCTTGGAAAACAGAATGCCTTTATTACAGGGAATTATATATAAAATTACATGTAAATATACCAGGACTATAGCACCACCGTGTGGTGAAAGTGTTATATTTTACATCTAGGAAAATAATGTTTCCTTTATCAGCATGAAAATAAC